AAATTAAAAATCTATATGATATATTAGATCAAGAAATTCACTCACCAAAAACAGAATAGGAGGAAAATGCTACCAAGGTAGTAGGACTCAAGAGAGGGTGCTTCATGCTACTGAAAATAAGGTGTAGGATAAATTTCCCTCCCTTTGGCCCAGATTTAATCTTACTTAACATGAATGCACTGACGACATGCCTTCAACATGCAACTAAAAGGAAGTTTCCCAAATGGCTCTTTATCAACCTTTGCTAAGCAGAAGCACCCCATATTTAGGGTACCCCTATCAGGAAGCACCAAGGCAATGACCTGGTCAACATATACCCCAAGCACTGTTCAGACAAAGGTTATTAACCTTAGCAACACTGTGAGGACACCTGCTCAATCATATTTTCCAGCAACAATTTAACTGCTCTTATTTACTCAAAGAAAAGATCAAGAGCTTCTAATGGCATTTTATTCCCTAGACATTTTGGGGCTGCTGAAGAACTGATTCCTACATTGCTCGAGTTTCTTGGTCCTGATCATACACTCTGTTCCTTAGACCTTTCCCTGAGTATAATTCACCACAGCATCTAGCATTTTCTCTAAGTCATAATAATGCTGAAAATGATTTCCCTCGCTGATCTACGGTGATAATTAGAAATATGTACATCTTCTCATCCTCCCTTTTCACATTTCATCCTCCATGGCATTGGTCTTTTTTGATCTCTAATTTTTTAGCAAAATGTCACAGGGTCACAGTGGGATATATTGTCACCGATTCAAGTTTTGTGATAAAGTAACTGTAAAAAATTTAAACTGAAACTTGAAATGGAGTATGGCCTGAGGTGATCGCTCTGGAACTCCAGGGACCTTGCAAAAGTGGCTCCAGATTTCCCAAGAGATGGGAAGTGGGGAGACAAGACACAACAAAAGACTAATTTAGTCAGACTTATGTCATCATTTAAAATGTTTCTGATTCTTTTTGGAAATTCACCTCCTCATTGATGGAACCAGAAGCTAGCTAACCATAAAGACATAAGAGCTCTCACCAACTTTTAGTGGTAAGTCTGTTTCCAACAAAAATCACAGCTTTCTGTTTTAAGTGAAAGATTTCTATAAGACCCTTTAGGATTATTTTCGTCTAATCTTTATTTATTTATTTATTTATTTTTAGCTGCGCCATCCTGCCACCTGTTGGCAGCTCAGCAGCAGCTCAGCTCGGGCATCTACCCAGCAACCATGTTGCTCAGAGCTCGTACTCTTGAGAGAGCTCTTAACCAACTGAGCCACTCAGCCAGCGCCAGGATCATTTTCTACAAGTTGTTAATACTAGGCTTAGAGTTTTTGTTTTATCCATAGAGAATTTGAAGATGCTGGCTAGCATGACACTTGAATTCTGTATATAAAGCGATTCCTGACAGGCAAGGATTTCTGCAAACTGTCACATCTCTACCTGCCTATCTCATGCCATTTTTTTTAAACAAGAAACAAGTACCCAAGGGTGGGGGAAGCTCAGCTGAATAAGCTGACGTTTCAGAAGCCAGGTGGACATCTAAAACGGAAACCTTTGCTATTTCTGATTCTACACAAGAGTTGGGCAAAATAGTGACGACTGCAATATAAAGTTATAAGATTTCTGTCTGCCCCATTGCACCAGTAAGATAACTTCAGTCCACCAAAACCCAAAGCGGCCGGCTGCCAAACTCTCAGAGTGTACACAGAACACAATATCCACACTTGCTGTCACTCACGTTATTAAACGCGACTTTGCCTCCTTGGGTGATTCTAAGATTTCATTAACATGATTACCAGCAGGAGAACAAAAGTCACTGCTTGTTAAAGTTGCAGTTGGTTTAAAGGGATCCATGGATTCATCAAAGTGGTAGCAGCCCTTGGAGGGGTGGGGAGGGGAGCTCTGCAGTGTGGAGTGGCCCCCAAAGGGACTGAAGCTGAGGTTATCCCACTGATTGGGATCCAGCTTAGAAGATGCTTGGGAGAGAGGAGCATCGTCTGCAGCTGGGTCCAGGGGCGGTTCTGCACCTTTGGCGCCTGCTGGCTTACTGGCTCCATCTTTTTGTACCTTGGGAGTTGGTTTGTTACCCAGTTTCCTGCCAAGTTTCCTTGGAAGGCCTTTCCTGGACTCTACATTTTCCACATCTTCTGTGAAATCAAATTCGAGTTTCAGAGGTGAGCTCGACTCCTCCAGCAGCTCAACCCCTGAATCATTGGTGTCACTACTGGGAGTGCTTGATGTTTCCTTAATATCAGGGACAGGTTTCTGGATCCCAGCATCTCCTAGGAAACGGTTGACGTTCCCATCCATTTCATCAGGATAGGATACCTGGGGGAGAGGCATGCCCTCCACAGCAGTTTCAGTTTCTGAGAACTCGCCAATTGTTTTCTTCCTCAGAGAGACAGGTTTGGGCTTTCTTAGCTTGCTTCTGCTAGGCACGGGCTGCAGACAGGAATTCCCAGCCTTCAGGTCAGCTTCTGTAGAAGCCTCCAGTGTAAGCCCCATGGTGCCTTCTGTCATTGCCTTGTCCTGGGTGGCTTCCGGCGGGCTGGAGGGCAGAGCCTCACCTGAGAATGCAGTTACACAGCTGTAAGCTGCTTCTGTTCCAAGAGCTGCTGAGATGTCCACAGAATTCTTGGTTTCTATTGAAAATGGCCTCACTACTGAAATTTTGCTAATATCATGTTCAGGTTCTTCTTTGAAATGCTTGACTGAGTAAGAATCAATCGCCTGCTGTGATACCTCATTTTCTGAGAGTATAGAACAAGTCTCAGATGAACATTTTTCAACCACTTCTGCTATCAGTTGTTCATCGACTTCTTGTGATTCTAAAACAAAACACAAAAGCCATCTATTAAAGAATTATCTTTTCGGCATTGGCAAATATTCTCTACTTACTGAATCCACATAGATAAACAGAAGGCTCTTTGCTTTTTTGCTTTTATTAAGCATCTCTAAGGTTCAATGAGTATGGCAGTGCAGCTTGAAAGGGGACAGCTGGTACGATACCCTAAAGTGAATTTTCCCATTCCAATCTGTGTATGTTCATTATCCAAGTTATACAAATAATTACACCAAATAGAGCTATTTAGGAAAAAGCTAAATATCATGGGTGTACCGCAAAGACTACTCATATGATGCTAAAATTCTGTAGGTTAAAATAACTGGTATGGAAAAAACTTTAGACATTGACAGCTTAGGTATAGAGATCAGGTCTGACACTGACACAGTTCTCAAGCACTGCCAGACAGTTGCAGGGTCTGAATTTCATGCAGCAAGAAGATTTTCATCTTCAGATGTTACAAACAAGTACTCCCTCTTCCCCAAAATAGAATTTAAATAATCAGACTGTTCCAAAGTTAAATGAAAAACCCGCTATGGCCAGCTCAGAACAACTTCTCTGCAGACTTAAAATTAAAAGAACAAAAAACATAATAATAATTTGAAAAAGCAGATACAGAAAATGGCTTTAAAAACAAATAGCCCCTATTTTACTAAGACACAAATCAAAATACAATAAAGTTATTTTTTCTTTAGAAGCTCCATCTGTAAATTGGACCAGGAATTCTCTCAAATCATTTGTGAAAAATAAAAGATCCTTTTTAATTGGGGTCTATTAGGAGAAATGCTGTAATTAGGAAAGTGCAATGAGGATATTTTTTTAAAGCACAAAAGACAGTGTTTCCCTAACTTAGAGATCTGAAATAACAATAGAGTAGCAGCAAAAACTGAATAAACTGATTCTTTTAGTATCTCATGATTTTAAAGGAAACTCAGAGATGTCCCTCTAATCCTACTTCCTAATCCTAATCCTAATCCTAATCCTAATCCAGGATCAAAAACTGAGCATCACTGGAAAAGTTTTGAAAAGCACTCACACATCTTTTTACATGACTCCTTTATGACTGGAATTGGGCAGTGGCTTCCACCTATAGCTCTAGAGATTAAAGGGTTTTACCGGCTGCATCAGAAAGTGAACCACCCACCATGGTAGAATGAGGAAAGAAAAAAAAAACAACCACCACCCCTCATCTGAGTTCAGTTGCCCAGCCTGAGCAGGCAGTGCAGGAGCTCTGCCAAGAAGACACCTGCCCAGGCATTTCTTAGCTAGCTCAGGCCAGGTGCCAGGTAAGTAAACTTGCCCAGTCCTACACCTAGTCACTGCAGACCCCACTTTGGTCTAGTATCTTTAGTCACTAGCAGAAAGTACTGACAGGGAGGGAAGGAATGGGTGGGAGAGGATTGCTCATTGACTTGAACCAGTTTGGGGAGTTGTGAGAATGTTAAACAAGAAAACAAACTAATCACCTAACTCAAAAAGGAATGTTTGAGTAAGATTTTATTTGCATTTACACTCTAAATCAGCAAGTGTCCCAGTACCAGCTGACCTCACATACCTAAGTGCTGTCCCAATACAGAACCTAAACTTCAAGTATCACACCACAGGTAGCTTTCAGTAAGTAAAACACCCATTGGCAGAAGGCTCCAGCTCCCCATCTTCCATCAGTTAAGAGTCCTAGCCACAGCTGTCAGTTCCTGTTTTTCATCTGAAAACACTGTTATATAACTAACCTACCTCTATTCATCCTTCCATTTTTAACAACAAAAATTCTGTATTCCTTAGAAACTTTCCTCCAGGGCACTAACCAGCTCTCTCCCTAGAATGAGTCTGATGAGTCTGACAAGCACAGCATTGCCTGGTGGCTTGGTGAACACAGACACAGATTAGATCGGTAGATGAATTCAAAGCAAACACAGAGGAAATCCAAAAATAGACCAACATTGCCACTTCTGCCACATCTGCTCCTGTTAATGAAACTCTTCCTGTCAATAGTGAGCCTCCCCTAAATCGAAAAGGTTGTGTGAAATACCCACAGATGCTGTAAAACAGGAGGTGCCTTGTGTGGTTGTTCAGGATATAGACTATTCTCATGTAAAAGGATTTTCCCTCCTCCCCCTTTATAATATTTTTAAAAGAAAAGGCGTGTATTGCCAAAATTTTAAAGATTGTGGCAACATACTGACATTCTGGTTTATACTCTGGTATAATGAAAATATGCTGGGTTAATATACAAGTTTATGAAAAACTATGAAAGCATCAGCAGAGGGGAAATGCCATTATACAAAATATTTCTGAAACTCAGAAATGTATACTGAGAACCTACTGGCTAGCTGCTTTCACGTGTATAATTTCATTTTAGAGGAGATAAAACGGCAACCACTTGGAAAACAAGGTGTATTACTTCAGATTTGGTATTATTTTCAAATATGCTTGACTTTTCCCCCTTAGATTTAAACTTTTTGGTGAAACGTTATCTGCAAGCTCCTTTTAGATCTATCACTTCCTCTCCTTTAGCTACAGATGGTCCCTTTTTATAGGTTTCTATATACCTGATATGCAAAGTGAGAAAGCTGCCAAAATTTGAACAGACCTCCTGTATTGTACAGACATACACACTGGCCTCTTTCTAACCTCAAAAGCCACAAATAGTTACCTCGCATCCAAGTCTAACATACAATGTCTGGCTCTAAGGCAAAAAAGCCTTAAAACAAAATCTCAGAACCAATACATGAAAATGAATGTCTTCTAGGGCCGGCTGAGTGGCCCAGTTGGTTAAGAGCTCACTCAAGAGTGCGAGCTCTGAGCAACAGTGGTTCAATTCCAGGCCCGAGGTGAGCTACCGCTGAGCTGCCAACAGGTGGCAGGATGGCTCAACTTAAAAAAAAAACAAAAATGAATGTCTTTTACAGTAACCCAAGAAGGGTTCTTAGATACATTTTCAGAAGGTACACGAAGACTCTAAAATTCAAGGAAAAATTGTGTGAGAGCATTGTCTGATGGAGATAATCCACAGCTTGCTTTATTGCGTGCATTTAGAACCACTGCTCCAAGAAGATTATATATAGGGTCCTCAAAAGGGCTCCTCTCAGGGCCGGCTGAGTGGCTCAGTTGGTTAAGAGCTTGAGCTCTGAGCACCAGGGTCGCCAGTTTGATTCCCACATGGGCCAGTGATGCTGTGCCCGAACTGAGCTGCCAACAGGTGGCAGGATGGCTCAGCTGGTGAGAGCACGTGCTCCTAACAACAAGGTTGCTGGTTCAACTCCCACATGGGATGAAGGGCTGTGCCCCTCTGCAACTAAGATGGAACATGACACCTTGAGCTGAGTGGCTGTGACCGGGTGGCCAGATGGCAACTGGGCTTGGAGCTGAGCTAGCTGTGCCCTCCACAGCTAAGATTGAAGGACTACAACTTGCCTGTTCCTCTTCCCCAATTCCCCAACACTGTTCCCCTCCCCCAACTCCCCAATTTAAAAAAAAAAAACCTTTAAAAAAAGAGACTGCACTGAAGCCACACTAAACATCAAGTGAAAGCTGGAGGGGGAAATGGTCTTATCAGTACACCGGGTGTGGTAGAAAGAGCCACTGGGCAGTCAGCTCTGGGAAGAGAATCAAAACCCCCCATGAACATACTTGAGTAAATAATTCCTTCTTAGAGGGTGGTTCAGGTTTGTTGTGTAGAGTGAAGGTCAGGAAACAGCCAAAATTTGGCCTAAGTCTGCAGACCTTTCTCCACTCTTTACTTACACAGAGCTCTTCTCCTTTAATAACTAGTGTTAAAGTACACTGATTTGAAGGGGAAGCCAAACTGCTAGCCTGCCCGGTGACCTTGGCCTTGCGCTAGTCGCATTCGGAGGTCAGGTATTGTGAACAAATGCCCTACTAGATAGGCTCACACACCAGATGTACAAGAAACACTGGAGTCATCATCGCTCGATGCCAGCTAAGTTGCCTCCCACAAGACCTGGTATAAAGTGAGAGAACAATGTGAAGGACAAACAGGGAACCAGTCCAGCACTGCTGCTGTGTCGGGCATGGTGACTGGGCATTTTACAGACAAGACCTCTTGTGCGCCAAAGGAGACTTGAAAAGAACACACAGAAAGAATCTCGTCTGAAGGATGACACGAATTGGAGCTAGTGAGCAACTAGACCATAAATCCCCCTCCCCATTTTCCATGTAAAATAATATTGTCCCTGATGCCTTCCATTGTAAAACTGAAATTAAGGATAAATTCTACATGGTAAAAGGTACAAGCAGCAATTTTTTAAGAAAATGGACAAAATATATTTGAAAAACATGCTCACTTTCACAGAATTAATAAACAGGATACCATTTTTAATCCATCAGATTTGTAAAAATTAAAATATTGATGATAGGAACAGTTGCTAGGCAAGGGGGCCAGTAGGCGCTCTCATACATTTCATGGGAAAGTGTACCATGGGATCTTTCAGGGAGTATTTAGCAATACCTACCAACATCCAAAATGAATAGATTCTTTAACTCATCAATCTGCTGCTAGAAATTTATTTTAATTATGCACACAAAGGGGACCAAATACACATATGTATAAGGATGAGGATGTCTACTTAAGAGTTGGTTCCTACATGCTTTTTTTGTGCAATTATAAAATACCAGAGGACTGATAGATACTTTAAGGTGCAACATGACACTGGAACACTACACGGCTGTTGACAATGAAGTAGGCCCACATGTACTCATGGGAGGAAGTAGAAAAATGGGAAGAACAGTTTGTAGAGTTGCGTCCTTGTTCAATTTAAACATAGAAAGACATAAAACTGATATGAAGAGCCCCAGAATCTTTCTTATTAAGCACAAAAATCGTTCCTACCCCAAACCTATTCCCCTCCTACCCATTTCTCTTGTCTCCATTTCACCACAGGATTCCGATTTCCAACCCCAACCTGGTCCACCTCGACTTCTCACAAAACTGTTAGTTAGGCAAAGCCTTCTTAGATGACACCAAAA